GGTGATGTTAATTGAGAGGGCACTGTTGGATGAGCCTGAGATGCAGCGAAATGCAGCTTCACTACTGTCCTGGGCTGAAAAATTAAGTCATCATGTATGCTGCTTGTTACACAACTCATGTATATTAATTATGCTTAATGATATGTTTTCTTCTGAATCTTTCCTGCACTGTGTTGTCCAGGGTTCTGAAGTTACTCCTGCACAGCTTAAAAATTGGTAAGGATTCCTTTTTACAGCTTGCCTTTCTAATAGTTTGAAGTTGTTTCTTTTCATTGTAAATCTTCCTTGCAATTTGTCCTTTTCTTACCCGACAGTTTATGGAAATTCAGAATTATCTGTTAATCATATCAGGCTGAACAATCGAAAAGCTAGGCTAGCCCGGACTGCCAGGGATGTTCGAGCAGCAGCAGATGCTGATGCTTCAGTCCCCGACAAGCAAAAGGGGCCGGTGCTGGGCTCTTGTGACTCCCCTGATAGCCCAAGTGATGCGTCAAATGCAAGAAAAGAACATCCAAGTCACTCAAATATTACTTCTGGTCATAAGCCTGATATTTTGATGGCGGAGTTTGTTGATCTTGGGCCTCCAGAAGCTGGGTGCAAGACCAGTCAGTATGTTGTGCTCGTAGATAAGCGAGGAGAGGAAATTGGCAAAGGGAAGGTGTTTCAGGTTAGTGGCAAGTGGTGCGGGAAGAGTTTGGAGGAATTAGAGACTTGTGTTGTGGATATTTACGAGCTTAAAGCTGACAAAGGTTCGCGGTTACCTTACCCATCGGAAGCCACCGGCTCCTCATTTGCAGATGCTGAAACCAAGCTTGGTGTCATGAGAGTGTTATGGGATTCAAACAGAATTTTCGTGTTGAGGTCCGAATGAGTTTATGTGAATGTTTTAATAGCTTCACTACTCTTCTGTTGCCTGTTGGCAAGCTCATGTCCTTGCCTACCGATTCTCTGTATGAGTACTTGAGCTTGCATTTGGCTGCTATATTGTGCTTACTCTTTCTTTCATACAAACATGATGCATTGGATACCCAACTGGATCGCTCATAAGTGCAAAGACTCGTATGAAAGAGCTAAACGAGTGACGTCATGCAGCGTAAATGGTTGGGATTTGCATTGTTTTACATAACATGTTTTACAGAAGCCTCCATTGATATGACAATTAACAATTTATATTATGATGCAACTTTAAGGAATCTCCCGATTAAAATACTATTTAGGAAATGTTTGGATATAAATCAAATTATAATTTTAAAAGTAATTTTACAAAGTTTAAGACAAGTATATGAAATATGTTTTGTGTAGATTTGCAAAAAACTGTTTTTGAAAAATATTTTTAGATAAACCAAATGCCCATAACTCCTGTGAGTCCAATTCATTTCAGATTAACAATGACAACGATTCCAGGTTTTTAAAAAAGGAAAGCAAGAAAAAAACGCCCGTTAGAAACTGGCGCATGGAAAACAGCTTTTACTTTCCTGTATCCGCCGACCTCCCTCTACCGCACTCTTGGACTGTTTGACTGACTTTTTAATCCTCCTGTTTTGCAATACTTTTATCACAAAATATATATGAAAAACATTTATTTGGCCTGGGTTGGAGTATTTTACACGACCTCTAAACTCATCATTTTTAAGTTTTTTTTTTTTGGTCAAAATCATTTTTAAGTTAACCTTGAACATTTCCTCATGCTCAGAACACCTCCATTCTCAGACGTGAGGCGCTACGAACACCGAACAACCAAGCATCGACCGGGAGGCTTAAATGATCCTACCTTCGGGTCATTTTATAAAAACGCAAGTGATTCCAATTACTCCTCCGGTCCTAATTATAAGATCCAATTGATTTATTTGAGGAGATTAAGGAAGTAAGTTAAGGTGGTTATTTATAATAAATAAGTGTTGTTATTCCTAAAATATCCTTGCTAATTAAGTATATTGGCTAAAACTATCATTATTAGAAGGATTATCTTGGAAAAAAATGCATAAATATAAGAGAGAAAATGGATTGGGTCTTATAATTAGGACCAAATAAAAAGTCAAATTGGGTCTTATAATAAAGACCGGAGGAGTATCATTTATCTTTTATCTCCTAGGACCCCCTTTTTTTTGTGGGCATAAATATTCTTCTAGTGGAGGCAAATTTTCTTATAGCCCTCCGCTCTTACACCAATGATAACAATGGGTGCTTTTTATGGCCGAAAAAGTGGGGGAAAAAATATCTGAATTCTGGACACTACGTGCATATTCTAGTTAGCAGTTAGCCCTATAATAATCCTGCGTTTGTACATTTTTTCCTTTTATTTTTTTAATAATAATATAAAAAAATTTCAGCTCAAAACTTTTTTTTGAGACAGAATTATAGGGTTTTTGATTTTTTTTCCCCAAAAAACAGAGTGCCTGCTATTCCGAATCCGATCCAATCGTATTGGGACTAAAAGCCCAGAAACTTTTTTTGTACAGAAAAGCCCATATTTATGAAATGCCGGTATTAATGAGCCTGTCACTCTCTCTCTATTTGTTTTTAGCCAACGAGCCCGTCACTCTCTTGAACTAGTGGGCTGGGTGGGGCAGTTGCAGAAGCAAGCAATGCGATCCTATTTCCTGGTTTACCTTGCAGGGCGGATATATAAGCCGCTCTTTCTCCCTTACTGAAAACCCTAGAGTCGGCCGGTACCTCTGCTTCTCAGGCGCAGGTATCTTCCCTGTCATTTATTGTTGTTGGTGCCCTTGTCTTACAGAACTTCGGCAGGTTAATGTTTTCTATATGTTTTGCCTTCAGGGTTTCAGGAAGATTTGACGAGCAAAGTTTCTTTTTCGGTTATCCATGGCGCCTAAAGGTAACTCTTTGGTCTTTACTTCTATGTTTTTTGTTTTTGCATTCTTTCTTGCTTTCTTTATTTTTTTTTTCAGCCCCAATTTTGACACTGAGCTTGGAGAATCTGTATGCAGTTACGACATTTTAATTTAGCCCAGGGGCGGCGCAACACCCTACTAACTCTTCAAGCTCTGAGAAATTCGTTGATGATTTCCTGGTTGTTTTTTCTGTTAATGTTATGGTTTTGCTGTGGCCTTGGCTTTTAACTTGGATGTTAATCATCAGGTCCCTGAAATGTGGTAATAAAGGAGGGGCAGTTAGTAAATCATGAGGAACCACAGCCGAAATTAATAGTGTACATCCTTACCAACCTTAGTAGAGCGATCCAATTTTCCTATGCTTTAGCCCTTGGGAAATATTTGGGATACACTTTCTAGCTGCTATTCTAAGCCTAACGTCTTTTTACGTTGTTGTCTGTGAGGAAGGAAGCCGTATTTTGGCATAAGCTGCACTACTAATTACTAAGCCCAACCTCTAGTATAATATCCTTGGCACAAGGTGCTATAATGCTTTCCTAGAACTTAAGTATTCTGGTGGACAACAAAAGCTAGTACGGATATCCTCTTTTGCTAGTATCTCATGTTACATGATTAATTTGTTAGTGATTGTTAGGGCTGTGATATTGCAGGACATTAGTTATGCATCAATTCCTCTCCGTCAATCCATTAAAGATTAAGTTTTTCAAGAAAAAATATGCTCTTTTTTTTCCTTCTCCTTTTATGTCGCTTAATGAAGCTTTTGTGCAGCTGATAGTTCAAAGAAGACTGACCCAAAGGCACAGGCCTTGAAAACTGCTAAGGCAGTAAAATCGGGCCCCACTTTCAAGAAGAAGGCCAAGAAAATTAGAACATCAGTCACATTCCATCGACCCAAGACATTGAAAAAGGATAGAAATCCTAAGTACCCTCGTATCAGTGCTACACCAAGGAATAAGCTTGACCATTATCAAATTCTGAAGTATCCTCTCACCACCGAGTCGGCAATGAAGAAGATTGAAGATAACAACACTTTGGTTTTCATTGTTGACTTGCGTGCAGACAAGAAGAAGATAAAGGATGCAGTGAAGAAAATGTATGACATTCAGGCCAAGAAAGTAAACACTTTGATCAGGCAAGTTTTCCTGACTGATGTCTCAAATATGTAGGCCGGTGACTCTTAAGATATCCTGATTTAGTAATCACAAATGTACAATTTTCGTAATTAATCCTCTGAAATGCTCTATATCCCTTATTAGATTTTCTAGAGCTTCACTGAGTGCTGCGGCGCCCCCCCCCCCCAAAAAAAATCTGTTCTTTTAATATTAACAATAACAATTATGGTTTTTCGGGCTTGATTCTGTTCAGTTATTGGGAAATAATCTGAAGCTCATTATAGAGCTTCACTTAGGTGCCCATTTGGTTTGAGCTATTATCGTACTCATTGTCCAATTCGTGCTGTTGCAGGCCGGACGGCACCAAGAAGGCCTATGTCAGATTGACCCCCGATTATGATGCCTTGGATGTCGCGAACAAGATTGGAATCATCTAAATTTTGGTGGCTTCGCCTTGTTTGTTTATTTGTGCTAGATTTTAGACTGTTTCGAGGAGCCCGTTAACAGGAGACTTTTGAGATGTGATTTTGAATTTTTATTGTGTTTTTCACTGTACTGTTTTCAAATGACATAAAAGTAGATTGCGGGTTATGAATTTTGCTGGAAAATTATTTAAATCAATTAATGGGTATATCATTTAAACAAATTTTCCGCCTTCATCCTCCGCGAAAATTTTCGCAGCGCCAATAGTAGTTTTGGTTCGAATTTTTTTTTTCTCGAGCCATAAGTAATAATATTTTCCGAGTATGCTAGAGGCGATTTGATGCATGAAACATATGCTAGCCTTTCTGAGTGAAGACTTGAGATCAATCATGAGCCGATACTGTTGTTTAAATCAGGCACGAGGAAGGGACGTTGTTTGATAAACGTAGCCTTCAATGGAAGCAATTAGTGAGTCCCGTGATGCACATACTCGTGTGTATGTAATTTTGGACTGAGAGTCCCATAACATGTGTACATATCATGTCTGAAGAAAGCAACGTTATATCAACGAAATAGGGGCAAAAGAGGCGAATTAAGTGGGACAAAAAATAGGCTATCTTATGGTCAGACCATTTAGAGCCTCAGGGGCAGGGGAGTTGGAAGATCCGGAAGATTGTAGATTAGAATTGAGGTGGAGATGGACGTGAGTTCGGCAAAGAGGACAATTTGAGCGGGACTGGAGCCAAAAGTCAATGCAGGAAACATGGAAGGCATGGGTGCAGTTTGGAAGATGTTTCAGCCATTCCCCTTCTTCAAACTCACCTAAGCATATGGCACAGTCTGCGCGGTTCGGCTTCTCTTCCCCCTCGCTTTTCTTAAACAAGGACATGCGCAGAGACTGGATTACGGATAACTCTAAACCGTGCCTTTCAAACTGTAGAGAAGGATCATCTTGATTGGATTCCTCTAGAAGTCGCCTCTGAACTTGGTTTCCAGAAGAATTTGCACAACAAATACGCTTCAATACGCTGTAGTAACTCAGTAAAAGGAAAACGATGCAGAAAATAATTATTGAAACAGTCTCTTTCGCATTCCATTCCAAAGGTTCATCAGGCTTCGTGGAATTTAAAGACATGATGAAACTTGAAATGTTGGGTTACATTGAGTTTGCAAACGATTTTGATTGACTGATTGATAGCTTATGTAAGAGAATGCTCAAGACAAGCAGAACGTTCAAACCCAAGAGTACCAAGACAAGGATGTACGGAGATAATATTAAGGAGCATGTTCCGTTGCGTACGAGGCAAGCCTTCTCTTGGATAATATCAAGGCTATAACAACTCGATTTTAGTTGCTTGTTCGCACATTGCCACCCGCATTGTCGAAGATTTCATCTAGTGAAAGCAAGAAATAAATAACTCTTGATATGACAATGACGGCAAACCTCATCAATGTATTTCAGAATATTGTCAAATGCACTAATAAAACTGAGGGAAACATATTAACTATCGACATGCCTCCTCAAAGTTTAAACTTAAGATAACTTGATGCTATTATTATTGTCTATGAACTTCGAGATGGCCAATGCTAAAAAGCTCAGCGTTTATGTGTGTGTGTGTGTGTAGACGCGCGCGCGCACACACAAGAAGAACAAGTCAAGCTCTCCTAATTAGTAGATTCCAATGAAAAGGTGATTTCTAAACATCAAGAAAAGAAGTTCCATTCCAGCATCTAAACCATTTAATCAATATGCTGGTTGTAATAGTCAGATATAAACAATAATCAGGTTACGTCCTGCACACAAGCTAGGAGAGGGGCAAATATCATCAGAGTTAGTAAAGCCTTTGTCGCTTGCTTCCAGGGACTTGACCGGCGATCCAGGGATCAGAGTGAACTCCTGCAAAATCTAGCACAGAATCCGAAAAGGAATTCCTTTGGAGTTCAGCACAATTCCCCATTTCTGCAAAATCGAGATCTTCGATGTTAAGAGGTGGAGCAAAGTTGAAGTGTTGTGGGTTATGTGGAGGTGGGTGACTCCACGTAGGAAGCGGCCCTGGAACGGGAAGCATCTGAAGCGGAGGACCTGCATCCATAACAGAGCGCAGAAACCTCCCCTTTTCTGGCAAAATGTATCCTCCCACAGCATTTTGAAAGGCCACACTCGCACAGTTAGACTCTGGCACTCCCGGACATGTCAAACCTTGTTGAATCCATGTTTGTTCATTGACCAAACGCATGTTATTCCTGTTGGTGTCAAAAACGTGGTTGATATTTGACAACTCCAAGGAAGAGTCACAGTCCGTGAAGGGATCCACAGGGGAAGAAATATGGGAGAAATAAGTGCATTCTGTCATGCCTGAGTTTGAATCCGAAGGTGTCAAGAGAAGTCTTTCTGGATACCCAGACGATGGCATCATGCTCTGAAGATGAGGACGCAGCTGGTGTTCAATCTGCTTGTTTCCTCGGAATATGATTCACTAGATTCTGCAGTTGCATCATGAGATCCTGGGCGCGATTTATTTTAACCTTGTTTTGAAGCAGCTTCAGCATCAATGCGTCAACTGTCTGGAAAATCAGAACAAGCATGTTAGTTACTCTGAGCGAATGCACTTTGGAAGTTATATAGAGTTAGTGGAATCGTTTTATAAGATGGAACCGCTCATAAAAACTGAGGAAGATGAACAAAGCCACAAGACACCGACATCAGTGTCAAGATTAGCTATTTTTGCCTTAAAACGGTAATTGACAAACACTTAATTTATCCTGTCGAATATCAGGGATTCAAGTAGAGACCGCAATCCAACCACACAATCCTCTCAACGCCGACTACTTGTATAAGGGGGAAAAGGCTACATTTCAAACAAAAATAATATTGGTTCATGGAAAAAGCAATACGAGCAAACGTGGGTCAATCGGAAAAACTGTCTTTGGAAGCAAGAAAAGGAAGTAAGCTATTACGAAGAAATTAAAACGACACTACCGGTTTTAATTATAAAAGCTAGGTGACTAATTTAAAAAGATTAAGAAAAAAATTATTAGTTATTTTTAATAAACATGTGTTGTCTTTCCTAAAATATTTTTATTAATTAAGTGTATTGGTTATAACTATTTTAGAAAAAAATAAAAAAAATACATAAATATGAAAGACAAAGTGAATTGGGGTTTTATATTTAGAAACAAAATAAAAATAAAACAAAGTCTTATATTAAAGACCTAGATACTATATGCCATTTAATTATTCAAATTGTGCAAAACATAATAAACGAGTTTGGAAGAAGGAAGCTAATTGGGCGAAACATCTGGACCTTCTGGCGTAGCTGCTTTGTTTTTACGTTGCGTTTGAGGAGACACACTCTTTGAGGAGGAAGAAAGAAGTACGGGTTAAAATCAAAACTTTGCCCATGGCCTTAACCTTAATAGCATACAGGTTACTGTTGTTCTTGTTAGCACCAAACCATGAACTCGATGTCACATACTACCTCTGTAATCTGGGGAGGAAAAAAAAATCAAAACTTTAGGAGTCTATTTTCCCGGTTAACAGAACAGAAGCAAGCAAAATATTTCTCCTTCCCCAGACAAAATAATAAGGAATAAACAGTCTAAAGATTTAATTCACTTAAAAACCGATTATAGTCAGGGGTCTTACGTACGCATGAAAGAAATCCAGTGAAACCATGAATGTCAGAGTCATCTAAAAGATTTTAATATTAGTAAACCAGAAAAGAGATAACAGAAATTGAACTGGGTGCGAGAAGAATTTATGCAGTGACCCACCTCCCCAGCACAAAACGGAGAGCCCATTTTTCTCTGTGATTTTAACACCTTTCTGTTGTGAATCGAATAAAATTCATAATTGTGATTATTCCTATTTATAGAAAAAAATTTATCGCACGCGGCAAGAGATTGATCATTCGAAAGGCGGTGGGTTATCACTCTAACTCTTTTTATTTGTTATTTGTAGTAATTTCTCATATATCAATGAGATCGTTAAATATATAAAATTTTTCACTTTTATTCTTATTAAATAGTAGTTAGTATTTTTTTTTTTTTACTCATTTCCTTTCTCTTCATCTTTATATTTGTTTTCCTTAATTAACAGGGAGTCAATACACTGACAGTCAAATTTAATTCGTTTACCCTTTTTTCCCCAGAACAATCTAATCCGATTGAGGGAGTCTTCGGTCTTCCTCCTATAATCTTCTCATCATTACAAATTTAAATGCCGTTTTCCCTCTTTAAAACGCGTTATTTCTTTTATTTTTTCCGCCTACGCATTACGTTGTCTAGCCCGCGCGCGCTAATAGACATACGTGGTAAGTCCTATATATCATAGAAAATTTTAATAACTTGCTTCTGTGGAGAAAATACTGCAAATCTAGATCATAGGATGGAGGTTGATAATTTAAATTTAATAAACTATTTAACATAATTTTTCACCCAAAAAAAATTATGTAATGTAAATGGTACAAGGATAAAAAGAGATTACAAAACCTGTCCATCAAGAATAAAATGAAACTCTAAATATGCATTTCTTGAGCATATTTAGCAAGCCTATCTGCATATATGAGAAAACCAAACGTACACAGGGTGTTTCTTACCCGCTTTTTTTTTTTTTTTTTGTCAAGAAGGTTGAAGAACTAACTTCTGCCCTACCTGCCCCAAATGAATAGCTTCGTGTGCCTTATTGACATTTTTTATGACAATTTTTTTTTTGGAATCAAAGGGGTCAAAGACCCAAAAATTGAATGTCTTGACTATTGACCAGTGCATTTTAATTTATTTTCACCTTTCATCGCAATTGCATATAGATCTAGTCTTCTTAAATCTCAAACTAAGAATATTTCTGAAGCAAATCTTCAAAATCAGGCTATTAATAAATATAGAATCATAAAATTTGCTCTTTGCATCTTTTCATCCTAAAAATCAATTTTCCTTATTTATGTGATTCGTATAATGTGAATACTCATATCTTTGACGGTCAAAACTTGTAATTAATTGAGTTTCCTAAAATTATCTCTTTCATATCTGAAAAATTAGTAGGTCTCGCAATATGTTTTGGAAATAATAGTTTATTTACTCCCACGGTGCTTTTGTATATTTTTAGGTTGTTCTATTCCTTAAACACATTCTTCGTCCGGGGAAAAAAAAATCACTTGATTTATCCTTCTTCCTGCATTCGTTCAGTTTAGCCCTCACATCACATTTAAGAAAATTGATCAAATGGTTGAAAGTATGAAGTAATTTCCTCGTGACTTACCATAGAGCTAATTATTTGTAGTTCTTCTCTCTGGTCAGTTAATAATTTACCTTACTTTTTCGTATGAACTGACTAAGAAGCCTTTATTGGGTCAAAATCCCCCTTGTTGTTTACTGAGGCCCAATTCAACCAAACATTGTTCATCTCTGACCCATTCCTGACTGGGTGCTATTATTGTGCGCGAGTCCAGTCCATCGCGAACTTTCCGGTGCGGGCATAGGCGGATCGCTACGCCATATCAAGAAGCTTGGCAAATCGCGACCTGCGAAATTCGCTGTGGACGTAGAGGAGGCAGCGAGGCAGTGAAAAAAGGCAGAGAAGGCGTAGCAGGGTTAGCAGAGCAGCAGTGAGAAATGAGGAAGTTCGATCCATGGCCTGTTTTCTTCAGGCGAGAATGGAATCGGAACTGGCCCTTCCTGGTAGGCTTTGCCATCACCGGAACCCTAATCGTCAAGTTCACCGCCAGTCTTACGGGTTGGACGTCATCTCGATCTGTTGGTTTTTGTCATTACGATTCTTGAATCTCATAACGAGTTATTTTTGTTCTGAATCTGTTTTGTAATTTCAGAGGAAGATGCTAAGAAGTCCAAGTTCGTTCAGGAGCACAGGAGGTAACCTGTTCATCTCCATTCTCCAAACTCTAACTTTTTTTATGCCTCTTTGGTATTTGGTGTATGAAATGAGTGCACCTCTTGTGTTTCCGATCGGGAAAAGCTGAAACAGTGACTCGTTAACTCGATGGGATGATACTTGGCTCTTAATGAATAAATTAATTATAGATTCTCCCCGCCCCCGCTCCGGGAGGGGGGTTGTTGTTAGGCTAATGATATAATCCCAGGATGTAAAGAGCACTAGGATGCACTATGCAAGATTAATTCGAGGGAAAATTATGGCTGAAGTGATTGATGTATGGGTATTAGCCCTCTCTTGACTTTGTGCCCCAATTTTTGGCTCGCTGCATTGCTAAATCCCACAATTACCCACAATTATGATTTTCCTTTACTCCATACTGGTTCATGGCTTTAGTTAACGACATTTCCCCCCCTATGTTCCAGGTGATTCCAAGCGGTTTGTATGGCTTCCAGCTTTGCACTTCGTTTTCGGTGTCAGCGTCAAGAGAGGTTTGCTTGTCTTGGTGTCGCAGATTGTAATAACAGAAGAGAGATGTCATACATACTCTCTCCACCTTTAATTTTCAGTATTGATCTTTGATTAACTATGGAAAAGATCCCTACCAAGCATTGCATTAAACAATAGATCGACATTTTGCTTTCTTTGTTCATATCAATTCTTATACTTGAACTTCCTGTTTTACTTATTTTCTATTCTTTTAGAAAATAATACAACGGTTAATTATGTATTTTGAGCCTTCTAGAGCCTGGTATTGTGCAATTGGCAGGGATATAGCTTCCCTTAAGACCCGTTGTTTCTTCATTAGGGGCAATACGATGTACGTTCCCATTCTGAATTTTTGTGCGGTGCTGGCAGTTTAGAACTTACTGTGAAGTATCGATCGTTATCCATTAATGGACACTTGATCAATGCAGAGGGTGCCTTGAACATTTTAATAGTTGCTCACATTGAGACTAAGAGGTGGCATGATTCCTTTTCACAAGTGCTTCTGTCATTCTCAGTTATTGCGGATATTCTTGGAAGTTAATGCCGAGCCTAGGACATTTACCTGTTGTAAGCCACACCGTACTGGAGGGATGGTAGTTTGATTGTAGGATTTGGATATAAAATTCGAACATACGAAGTTGTGTGGATATGTAATTCAAGAATCTTGATTGTGACAACCTCCTTTGTTGGGTGACTCGTAGAGTTCCTATTTAAAGTGGAGGCTTCCCTCCTATCATGCTAACAAGTGCGCTCTCCTCTACATCATTTTTTCCCCCAAAAAGGAAAGAGATCATCTCCAAATTTTTGTATTAGCCCTCGCTGGAAGAATACCATGAAATTTGTTTGTTAAGTAGCCCCACCACTTCCTCCCTATATTTTCATAGTTCCCACAATCTACATTCTCCTTGGTCACACAAGCACCAACAGTGCAGAGTCACCCAATTTCCATGCTATCAATGCCTGGGAACTGGCATTAGGAAATCTCACCGATGAGTGCCCTTGCCCTGCAGGACTGTATTGTGGACTCCCCACCATATTATTTGTTCTAGAGGGGGTAAAAGCCAAATGATAATAATGATAGTAATCTCCCATCTCTGCTCTCAGATTATGGTCGTTTATTTGAATGGAAGAGGCTAAATTCAACTTGAGCTCTTGGAGGTTAATTTATTGTAAGTTGCTGGTTGAAAATCTCGGCGTCAAGTCTGCCTTGTGGTTCAACCCTTAAAATGGAATGCAAGATAAACGTAAGAGTTATCCCGTTTTATTCCTTTTTTCTTTGTTATTCCGGTTTATTCTTGTATTCTTTGTTATTTCCTCCCTTGAGGACCAGTCCTATTTAGGGCCTCGGCCAGGACTAGGATCTGAACGCATTCGGAGAAATGCAAATAGCATGAAAGGGCAATGTTATTAATGTTGCCCCTATTTCCATCCCTTTTTTTTTTCCCCTGACTTCCATTTCCATCTTGACTCAACTTCCAGTTCTGTGATAACCAGCTCCGATCTGGCACTCTGTTCCAATGTTTTATATCTGCCTTGATCTGGTCAGTGGTTTCTGCTTCTTTATGCTCATCAAGCCTTTCAATTTGCTTAACTACTATCAATGAATCTACCTTCAGCCCACCCGTCGCGTACTCTTTTTTCCATTGCTGCTCTAATAATAATTTTTAAAATATGGATACGAGAGGTATACATAAACAATTATGTGCATATTTAATGACTTAACAATAGAAATAATAGTATAAAATTTGAGTTTTAAACAACTATTTCAAACATAATATGAAGATATTCATAACGAGTGGCCAACAAATGGAAGTTTCTATAAGCTGCTGAGCTATTTCGGATATTACAACATCTTCCGTGTATATGTTATTGGTGAATGTATTGTAAAATGCATATTTGATTTGATATGGATGGTTGTAGCTAGTTTTTGGAGTATGGGTACACCATGGTTAACTAGGCCGATGTTGGCCCCAGCAGAGATGATATTCATATATAGATCGAAAAGAAGGAGAAAAGCAGTCGTGTCTGTAAGAAGAAATGTTACGGCATATGTTCATTTTCTCAAGCAATGTCATTGTGTGATTGTTAAGGGAGGAGTGCTTAATATTGGGGCTATTTGAGGCGCGAGCCCAGAGCCTTGGGGTTGCTGCCCATTCCTGGATAGGCACAGGCTGGATTTGCAGCTCGTAGCCTGCCCTAACTTGTTTCAGCCCGAAGCTCAAACAGGACAGTAATCTATGGGGACCATGTTCAAGCAACAAGACACCTATATGTGAGTGATTGATGAGAGTCTGCATTCATAGAATTCGTATTCCTATCAAGCAATATCAAGTAAGATTGCCTGCATTTTGGATCTTTTGTGGTAATGTTGCTGGACATTAAGAGAGGGAATGGCACATATAGGTAGAATCGTGTTATACATGGTAATATGTTTTTCGAAGAGAATTTGGACTTTATTTTCCTTGAGGTGTGTACATTGCTTGTGAACCAAAATGAAGGGGAAATTTTATTTGTACTCGAGGCAGGGTCACAGGAAGTTAAGAATTCGATCAGATTATCATTTGACCTGGGCAAATTGATACCATGCTACCTTGGGCTGCTGGTTAATTCTACTTCTTGTAGCTTGATCCAGCTACAGTACAAGTAATTGGATGTCAACTCTTTGATCATTAGGTGCTCTCGTAACCCTCGTAACATTTGATCCTAACATTGCCTCTAGTAGAATCCGACGTAAATCCATGTTACATAACAGTAGCAGGACCAGCAAGACCAAGAGCCAACAATCACAGTTTTAAATTAATCTTCAAAAGGCAAGAACAATTATGATTTAAGAGGAAGAGTTACCGCGGAACTAAACAGAAGAAAACATAAGTAGTACGGTGGCTCCTAGTTTTGCCGAACACGGAGAATCAAGCTAGTGGTGAGATGACACTTGCTAGTTGCTAGCCACACGATGGTGGTACTCTTTTCCTCCCAACGAAATTGAATTGGTAAGCTCCTTTAGGCTTATTTTCTCTCTAGACCGGAACAAAAGAAAAGACAATTATTTTTTTGTCCAATGGTGATCTGATTTAAATTATTCCGCTGCGAGCCGTCCAGGATAATAAAAAAGATAGAGCAGATAAGCTTAAAAATTGAGATAAAGTTGTAGGGCGGAGAATGAAAGTATACCCTCAGAAAACTTGTGGCGCTCGAATCCTGATTCCACGTCGTCTTGGACCGATGCACCACTAAGGCATTATTGTTTTGTTCTTACGTTAATGCATTATTATTTATTCTGCAAAATATATGGCTACAACAAGATGCTTAGGTATTCCAATGATACCCACTCAGCCCACCTTCTCCATCCCGGCGCTACCTACTTAATTTTCAATTATCTTGAACAATTCAGAGCATGACCAAACACATTTGTCTAATGTTGCTGTCTTGCCATTCAAATAAAATAAAAGTACTATGACACTAGCTACAGCTATATTTCGAAGTTACAGAACAATGCATTTGGAACGTATCTAACATAATAGTCTTCATCGTGAATGATTCCTTGAGGACGATTATTGACGTCAAATGGCTTCCGCCGTCCCTGAGAGCGGTAACTTTGTCCTTTTGCAACCCAATAAACGAAACAGTTTAATTTACTCCATTGTGCTCCGCGATTTTTCTTTTTCCTGATTTGGAATGATACACTTATAGGTAGTTTCCTTCGCACGGCTTAAGATGATCACATCGACTTCTACTTCACAGGAGAGACTTATCATCCTCTTGCCGGTTGAAAATTGAATATTAGACTTTAGACAAGGGGTTAACTTACCATCCGTGGATCGCGGGATTATGACCTTCCATCGTCCCCCCTAAGCACTCCCTATTTATTAGCAAGAGGTGAAAACTGGTCGGCAAAATAAACTTCATTAGGACGTGACAATTAATGAATAAAGGGATCCAGCAATAACTAATCCACCATGGCCCCATCCACATCACTGCAAAAGTAAACAATGCAGAATGTCGGTTTGGACAATGATTGAGGGACCCCCATACCATCAAATACATTGGTCGGCGATTGTTGCTCTTAACATCCCATCACGCCGTCCACGTGGCCTCACGGGAGCGATCCGGAGGCTCGCCACTATTGTCCTCACAGTTGGCAAAAAGAAAAAAGCCGCCTACTTTATCAGAAAATTTTTCCATTTCCCCGGACGTAATTTAATCCCATTATCTACGACCTCTTGTATATATACACCAGAGAGAAGGCAGCCAAAACATAAGAAACTAGAGCTTTGAGCATTTGAGGCCTGAAATCACAAAGCAAATAAAAAAATGCCGATTTCCAGAATTGCGATCGGAGGTGCGAGTGAGTTTAGTCAGGCCGATGCTCTTAAGGCAGCCTTGGCTGAGTTCATCTCGATGCTCATCTTTGTCTTTGCCGGCGAAGGCTCCGGCATGGCTTTCAGTAAGGGCCCAATTCAACTAGTTCAAGTCAAACTGGTTTTCTGCTAGTAAGTTCTAAAGTGACGGATAAATCAACCTCACACTATGTGATGTTGTTTTGCAGATAAGCTCACAAACAATGGTGCGGCAACACCAGCAGGGCTGGTGTCAGCATCAATAGCTCATGCCTTTGCGCTGTTCGTGGCGGTCTCTGTTGGAGCCAACATTTCTGGTGGTCACGTGAATCCCGCTGTTACCTTCGGTGCTTTTGTTGGTGGTCACATTACCCTCCTTAGAAGCGTTTTGTACTGGATTGCCCAGTTGCTGGGTTCTGTGGTTGCTTGCTTGCTCCTTAAATTTGCCACTGGTGGACTGGTAAGACCCTTCGTCCTCTCAAACCTGAATCAAGTAAATTCAAGACAATTAGACAACTATCATGATTATCAAATTTGACATCATATTCTAATTACAGCAACAAACTTTTCCTCTACACTGTACCAGATCATGACTTGTGAATACTGTTGTTTGCTATGAATTTTATGTCTCACGTTCATCTGCAATACAAGAAACATAGTATAAATATGGCGTGTGTTTTTAGGATAATTGCTATTCATTTTCCTTGTATATGTGAATGTATGGATGATAGAAGTCCTTCAATGAAGTCTTAAACTGTTCAATTTAAAAGAGATCAAAGGGGAAAATGATGAGTAAAACCCATCCGATTGAGCCCGTGCACCCGTTTCTGTTTTTGTTCTTAGAAAGATTCTTCCTATCACAGAAGACAATTTATGAGATTTCTCCATGCCAGAAGCGATGAACAGTCTTGCCTATTATGGAAAGTGTTATTCACAAGGGTCACACGTAGAATATACTCCGATCCGTTAACAACATAAGCACAAATAAGGAGTCTCGTTATCAGTTTATCTCTAGCAAAGTATTCAACATTTACGTCAATCCATATTCATTGTGAACTAATCTGTCTTATAGAGTAGTCTATGTTGATGGGTGTTGTACGAAACTGAAGCACATTAAGCTGAGTAACATCAAGTCGAAGTAAGACGTTTGTGTTATATATTGCAGGAAACTTCGGCATTCGCACTGTCATCAGGAGTGGGAGCATGGAACGCAGTGGTGTTTGAGATAGTGATGACTTTTGGTTTGGTTTACACAGTGTACGCAACGGCAGTGGACCCAAAGAAGGGAGACATCGGCATAATAGCCCCAATCGCAATTGGTTTCATAGTGGGTGCCAACATCCTGGCTGGCGGTGCCTTTGACGGTGCGTCCATGAACCCAGCGGTGTCTTTTGGACCTGCCGTGGTTAGCTGGACATGGGCCAACCACTGGGTCTATTGGCTTGGTCCATTTGTTGGGGCCGGTATTGCCGCCCTGGTCTATGAGCTTTTCTTCATCAACCAAAACGCTCACGAGCCACTCCCCACCACTGACTATTAGCAAGCTGGGGCTTTATATATTTAGGTGTTTAACCACCCACTGTGTTTAAGTTGAAAGTGGGTGTGTTTATTTGGCTTCAAATTGCGAGGTTCTCTCTGTTGTTTTTCGTCTTGTTGCCTTTTTTTTTTTTTTTTTGCTGTTAATTTCGGTTCACTCTGTACTGCTTTGTAAATCACTTCAATCCACTACTGTTCATTTTCTGTTTTTCCTAATATGCTTTCACTTGAGCTTCATTTCTACTCCAGTTCATCCAAGAACTCTTATAAGAGTGATATCACAATGGATAATAAATATACTAACGTCAAGCATCCTAGAGAGTAAGGGTCATACTTCACATTTAATTAGTCCATGATCTAATTTTAAAATTTGTCTATCCCTATATTCCCTCCTACAATATTCTTCCGTTTTTATTATACTAATCCTGATGTTCTGTAAACAAAATGCAAATCTTTCTCAGACGATTTCATAACTAAAAGATAATACTGGAAATAAAATTGTAGAGGTTGTTTTCTTTGCAATATATAGGAAGTGTGGGTATGTTAATATCAGCCACACTACATATTCCATGTGGGTGGGAACTGGGAAGAGGATAATTTCTAAGACGTTAGACTTCTGCTAACTCGTTTTTCATTATTTTCTTTGTTCTCATAAACTTTCATGGATGAATTTATTTCAAAGTATAATTATTCCCCAAGAATTAGAAAAGATTATGAATAAAACAAACTCTCGCTGGGCGAATAAAAGAAAAATGAAACGACCCAAAATGATTTCAAGGCGCGGAAAGGAAGTGGAAAGAAGAAGAAGCAGGCGCGGGAAGGAAGTGGAAAGAGCGCGAAACCACTGGCACGATCAAGGTTGCAATAACACGCCCAAAAAAAAAATAATAAATGCCAATCGGTATTTGCAAACTGGGCGAAAATTGAAAATCTCTTCACCTCCCAAGGTGCAACGCTATATGCAACGTAAATGTTCAATCCGGTAGTTTTTTGTCTGCTATCCTTTTCTTCAGAATGCAGTATTCGTATGAGTCCAAAAAAGAATGCAGTATTCGTATAATAGTTGCATATTTGAATCTGCCCAAGATACTTGTTTTGAAGTACTTTCCCCTGGTAATTTATCATCGTTTGTCTCATATTTTCTTGTTTCTAGGCACGAAATGCGAAATGTTTACAGAATATTGTTAACTGTGAAACTGCAATCGAATACGGTCATGACCCTAAGTTTACACCTCACCACCAAAAGTGCACAACAGATAATCAAAATTTGTTTAGAACAATTTGCTAACAGGTTCTGTTCCCGTTTCTCGCATTGTCAATTTACTGTATTGTATCATATTTGTCCTATATATGTGAATTTGATTGGATATGCAAGAGTGCAAAGTAGGTTTCTTGTAACGGTGCAAACTAGGTCTGGTTAGTATGTAAAGCAAATAGGAAGTGTTTTCATGGCTCACATACTCTAAGAAAGACGGATTCCTGACCTTTGAGTGCAGAGTAGCCTGTGCAACTTATGACTTGATGATCATTACATTGATCTGTCACGAAGCAAGCCATTGGCGACAAAACCATTCCGAGCTGTTGAGTGCACGATATTCTTGTAGACTTAACTGAGTTGATTCGGGCTTGTCTCGTGTCAATATCTGGGATCCGTTATATGCACCCAATACAGATATGCATGATCGACTGTAACCTGATAAGGTTTTCTTAGGCAATCATGGTTCATTTAAGATTAAGTGAAATTAAAGTCAGAGATATGTTGTGCTAAAGAAGATGAGTTGACTTAGAGAAACAGCATATCAGAGACAAGATTAGGAGTAGGATGAAGTTAGGCGACACTCTCCATACTCGATCATTTAATTAAGTGACAGAGAAGAATTATATGTATGCATGAATGAGCCTGTGCATATTGTCTTCTGCATGATCTGTCTATATGTTGTCCATACTCTTCGATTCTAATTGAAGAGTTTTGTAGATTATTCATGCATTAACTATTAACAGGTGCGTAGATAAAATAAAACTTAATTAGACGGGTGCATGATATTTTACATTCAGAACACATGATGACCTCCCTATTGGAGGTTTCTTCACACTCTCCTTTTTGTTGATACTATAAGGCATTGGACATGGACTACAACTATGCATAAGAAAATTACAGCTGTGTCACACTACGGAGGACCATGACTAAAAGCTTAAAGAAACGAACTATGCTACATAGGTTAGACTTCCTTAGGACCGGTGGTACACATATGAACAAATTTAAAATAATTTCCGGTTAGCCAGTTAGAAATGCTGCCCCTTGTTCAAAACTGGAAAAGAATTGATCACTTGAAGGGAGAAACGTCTTACTTTCTTCGTCATCCATAACCCACAGCGAGTCTGAAGAATACTCCCAAGAAGGAGATGGCAGATGAGCACAAAAGAAGTTGCATTCCTCTTCGATATGCCCAGCACTAGCATGGACTGGATTCTGAACATGATCTTCTGACAGAGCAATATCTTTCCATATGTCATCCATGGAGTAACCCTGTTCCCCTTTTTCATCCCCTATCTTGATTTTTGTTGAGTCAATCATATTAGGCCCTCCTGTATCATAAAAGCTTTCCTCTCCACTCTCATTGGAAGGATGTGAACCCACTGCGTGATTATTTGATGATAGTGAAGAATGACAACTAGATGTTGATGATGGAGTGGCCGCCCGCTTTGTCTCCTGGGCCTTCTTCCTCATGTAAGTCCTCCAGTAATTCTTGATCTCATTATCTGTGCGCCCTGGCAATTTCCGAGCAATTCTTGACCATCTGCATGTGTCAATCATTGAAAGCAGGGATTTGAGACAGGAAAGCAATTCAGAGAGATTGGATGACTAACTATAAAAGGTTATGGAATAAAAGATGTGTAGAAGAAAAAATCTTGTCAGCAGCTTTCTGCATATTCTCAAACCTATTTCCCCATTTGGCGTGAAGCTCCAGCACGAGACGCTCTTCTTGGGGCGTCATCTTACCCCGTTTGAGACCAGGATGCAGGTAATTAACCCACCGTAACCTGCAACTCTTACCTGTTCTATTCAAACCTACAACAAAATGAGGTGGTTAAAGGCTGATTCTTCTATAATCCAGTATGCCCAAATAAGCATACCTATTCTCCCGCCACCTTCAAACCTGAAACTTTGGCTATAAAATCCCATCTCCGGTCTCCAAATAAGCCAACAAAGGAGACCAATTTGATGTCCTCCTGTTCTGTCCATGGACCTTTCCGAAATTCCTGCTGACCCATTTTCGTCTGTTTTCCTGAGCTACTCGAATAACTTCTTGGAAGGGAACTCTACTCGAATAACTTCTTAGAAGAGAACTTACTCCACCCAATCACTTATGGGGACCTATGTCTGCACATCCTTTATTTATATATGCCATATATCAGCCTGTTTCGTTATTTTCAATAAGCAAATTTGCATATCCCCTGCCCATGTGGTGCGCGCGTGCTCACTTCCTACGGTCATTTTATGACGCTGTCGTCAGCCATTATAGGCAAATAATCAGACTAAAAGATCGATCTGTCCATGTAAGTTTCAGTATTATTTTTCTTTCCATTACTGTAATTGTTTATTGACTTGGCACTTCATCAGGCAAAGTTTTGGTTGGATCCATTATCACTTCAGCAATCAGCATACAGCCTTTGTATTTAGGCAATAGTGGCTTCTGTTTGAGATAGACTTTCTTAAAGACAGCTTATTTTTGTAAGAATTTATTACTCTTCCATGAAGACTGTCCAAAACAATCGTGTCTTTCATAAACATAAGTTTGGACCCATTGCCCAAACTTGAATGGAAGGTATTAAGGGGGTGTTTGGCAAAACCAAAACCTAGGTTTCAGAATCACTTTTCCGCAAAACGAGGTAACCTCCTCCACATATTTACTTCGTAATCCGTAAAAGCACTTCTGAAACCATGGTTTGGTTTCTATCCAAACACCCGACGAGGTTGCTGGATCTTCTCTTTTTTCCTTTTGGCCACTTCGAAATCCTTCTTTTTTTTGGATTCGCAGAAATGATTGTTGCGTCCCTTGACATTGTGTAAGGCCATGATTGAAAGAAGACAAACTCGAAATAATATTTAGTCCAAATTATAGCTAGATATTCCTTTAAAAAACTTCTTTTCTTTCCGTTTTTCCCCCTGCATACTTTTAGAAAGTATTGAAAAAAATTATCGACATTCGTATCAGATAAAGACAAAAGAAGGCTGTGTGGTGGCCTAAGCAGTATTAGGCGGAAATCATGGCGGGCAACCTTACTTATTTAATCTGTTTAAAAGAAAATTACTATTCACACTGCCGCAGGAAAATAGAGGGTTTAAGTCATTAGGGTTTTGTAAGTGGTGAGGAATCAAAGATTAGGAATAGTTAGCAAAAGGTTATAATCTCTACTCAATCATGTAACCATAAAGAAAAAAGCCACAGCCAAATAAAAATAGCCACTCCCAATTTGTGAAGATTGAAAACAACAATTCATAAAGTACTTCCTAAAAAGTTTGGGGGAAAAAAAAAAGCTTGCTTTAACAAAGTATTTGTACTCCTCCGGTCCTTAATATAGGACCCAATTGTGAGTTAGTTTTGGTCCTAAATATAAGACTCATTTCTCATATTTATCAATTATCTATAAATTACCCCTATGGATACCCTTTCAACCATAATCAAGTAGAAGAGAAATATGAGGTATTAAGAAATATGATTATGGTATTTTAGGAAAAACGTGTCATATTTCTTATAATTAACTAACTTACCTAACTTCCTTAATCTAATCAAATTAGTTAAATGGGTCTTATATTAAGGACCGGAGGAGTATCTTTTTTTCTCTGGAAGAAGGTAAGTATCGTGTAAGGCAAATTGACCAAGGTACAATAAATTATTTATTAGGTTAATATAATTTTTGCTTCCTCAACTTTGTCATCATTTTGATTTTGATTTCTCAAGTTTCAAACTATAGGTTTTGATTCTTCAATGAACAAAATGGTTCACGTTTTTATTAAATTATAAAAATCATTATTTTAAATAAAAAATTAAATGACTAAAATCTATTATTTGAAATTTAAGAAACCAAAACTAAAATGAAAGCAAATTTGATAGACTAAAATTTATATTAAACCTTATTTATTTTATTTACCCAAATGCTATAAACTCAAAACTATTTACTAATGTATTATAAAAATTTGGAACCCAGTGCTCTAATGTTAAAGCCATGCTTTTGCCCAGCCGAAAACATTTTAAAAATTCGACAAAATTTTTCATAAACGAAAAATATAATAATTTAATTTAAAATGCATATGTTATAAGAAAAACACTAGGAGCAACAATAAAAAAGAATTGTTAATACAATATATTTCAGTTATCCATTCAAAAAGATGTATCTCAATTAAAAGAAACCAAAATTTAAATAAATCTCTTGCATTATAAGGGACCAAATTAACTCTCATCCTTTCTTATGTATCTGAAAAATTAAAAAAAAAAAAGACTAAAGTATATATTTGGTCTTTTAACTTTATACAAGGTTTTAATTTAGTCTTGTAACTTTAAAAAGTATACATTTGGTCCTTTTGCCCTGAAATTATTAGGTTTTAATGATGATTTTTTTTATAACAATAATGGATGTTTTGAAAATTAAACTTAATATGTTAGTATTTGAGAATATTTTATCAATATTTAAGATATTAATGTCATCATTTTTTAAAAAAATTTTAGAGTCAAAAGACCAAAAGTATACTTTTTAAAATTAAGAGACCAAATTGAAACCTTATATAAAGTTAAAGGACCAAATATATACTTTAGCCACACAAAAAAAAAATATTCCTCCGGTCCTTAATATAAAACTCATTTAACTAATTTGATTAGATTAAGGAAGTTAGGTAAGTTAGTTAATTATAAGAAAAATGACACATTTTTCCTAAAACACCATAATCATCTTTCTTAATACCTCATCTTTCTCTTCTACTTGACTATGGTTGAGGGGGTATCTATAGGGGTAATTTAGAGAAAATTGATAAATATGATAAATGGGTCTTATATTTAAGACCAAAACTAACTCAAAAATTGAGTCTTATATTAAGGATCGGAGGAGTACTATCATATCATTGCTCGAAACAAAAGTAAAGGATGTAGCGATAATAAAGTAGCTAACTCTCAACTAATATTTCATATTTAACATAAAATAGAAGGAAGAATATTATAAAAAGGTTATAATTTCCATTCGCTTTCTTATTTTATTGCATTAAATTTCAGTTGTTTAGTGTTTCTGCTGCCTATTAGGAATACATGCATACAGATAAATACACGAATCCATTCACATTCACCATCATGTTCATTCGATTGATTTTACTTTACACCACACACGCTTTCTTTCGGATTTGGCAAAAAGTAAAATAAAATTCAATCAACCCTGAGACAGGAAATACACAGAACGCCAAATAAATCGAGTGGCTTTTAAGCATGTTCTGAAATCCATTTTACAGCGGCTGAAATCCTTAATCATATATGATAGGCTGATTAACTTCATCTCTAACATAAACATTTTTCGTAAAACATAATGCTTCCTTATGAATCTGCATCATTTGGCTCTTCGTTTTAGGTCTCTGATTCTAATATCTATCGTTATACTACCTTCGATTATTAAAATAAGAACTAGTTTGATATTTAATTTGGTTTTACATATAATATAAGATCTCAATCCATTTTGTCTCTCATATTTTATCTATTTTCTTTTAAAATAGTTCTTGAAGCAATGGTACATGTTAAATGTTCCACCAAATAGTAGTTGTAGCTAATACACAATATTAGTAAGGGTATTGTAAAGAAAATAACACATATTTATTACAAATAACTAATTTAACAAAATTTTTTAGTCTATTTAAATCAGTCAACTATTTCTTATATTTCTTATCTTAAGTATTTTAGATCTCATGCAATAATGCAATTAGCTAGCCTTTCTGTGGTTCTGATTAGGATGAAACTAGAGTAGCGAGTATTGGATCTATAATATAATTTAGATGGGATTTAGAATTTTTTAGATTCATAAATAATAGAGCTTTTAACTTGTGGAGTTGCCCTTCCCTTTGCTGTCTTTTTATCCACAACAAAGAAATACAGGTGGTATGTATCCACTGGGGTTGAAGATAATGGAGGCATATGAATTGGATATATGAATGTGGAGTTCAGGCTTGCCTCTGAGATTTGACAGGTCCAGATGTGAAGATGAGGATATTACGTTAATGAAGCGGCTAGAAACATGATAAGCAGATATGTGCCGAGTGGAGTATTGCATCATTTAATTTGCCTGTGTCCATACAAAGAAGACCAATTTGGGGCGGTGAATAGTCATGTTAGCACTGTATCAAACAAGAGGAATAATTGAATTACGGAATTGTTTGTGGCTCCTTTAATTTTAGGGCTTTTTTTCTTTGTTTTTTCCCGACCCCCCTGGGAGAAGGGGGGCGTATCCAAAAAAATTAGCAGATAAAGATCAGTTAGTGACGTGGATGTCACCAATTTGTGGGCAAACCACTAAATCTTATCTCCTGGGTTTCTCTGTCAACTGGGTTAATTTAGAGCTAATGGTGGTCCCTTTGAATTTTCATATCATTAAATTAAGACTGAGTAACGACATGCACAAAGAAATTTGACCATTTCCCAGCCATCATCAACCCCCTTCTCCTTAGTGCAGCTCATGATCAATGGTCCCAGTTTATGATGCTTTTAGCTGTACGTGGCCCAGTCCTGGATATTCCATTACGTGATCATGGTTTCATTTGACAACAGGAATGCCATATAGATCGTTGATAGCTAGCTAGGATCGTATCAGTCTATTTTATATGTCGCCCGATAATATAAAAAAATGTGATGTGATAATGTTATTTAGTGTTTAATCACATTTTTTCTAGCATCGATGAAGAAAATGACACAAGCATTGGTCTTTCTCGTGCTACAATTTGCAGCTTGCACTAAAGGCTAGTGGTGGAGAAATATTGCATAAGAATCAAGGAAATGATCGAATGCTCCTGCTCTCTCTGAATTGTGCCATCTGCCCTTTTTCATGATTATTTGGTTTACCCAGAAAGAAAACAAATTGAATTACCACAATTGGGTCTTCATTACTTATTTGGGTAAGCAGTAGCACCTTGTCCCTTGATCTACTACATACGCC